GCAATAGGTAAGTTATCTGTTAAAAGCTCAAGATACCTAATAATTGATGGTGAATCAAAATCCACATAAACCCAAGTCTTCGTTGGGGACCCATTTTATTTCGTTGTGGGGGTGAAATAAGGACTTGGACAGCACAATCAAAGACCCGTAGGTGAGAAATATCAGGTTCATAACCAAATGTCAGTTGCAAAGTTAAATATTGATAACGGGCAGTTGGTCTAATACAAAGCAATGATGCAGCATGTAATATGATATAATCCCAAATAGAAGCTGTGAGTTTTGTTTTCATAAGTAATGATCTAGCAAAAAGTTGTGGATGTTTAATAAACGACTCTGTCAAACTATTTTGTGTATGGACATGCGCAACTAAGTGTTCAATTACAATCCCGATTGACATACAATAATCATCGAATGCTTGTGATCTAATTTCACCAGCATTGTTAAGGGGAATAATTTTAATTGAGCAATCGAAAAATTGCGCTCGTAATTTTATAATTTGAGCAAGTAGTCTAGCAAATGCAACATTCTTAATAAAAAGTAGGCAAACATGTTACTATCTAATAGAGGAATTAATTAATATCATAAAATAGCGAAATGGTCCACATGATGGGTGTATTGGCCCACATATATCTCCATGAATATTTTCTAAGAAAGTTGGAGATTTAATATTGACCTTTGTAGTTGAAGGTCTAATGACAAACTTACCTTGTGAACAAGTTACACATAGATAATCATTAGGTAAAAGAATCTTTTGGTTCTTTAAAGGGTGTCTATGTGAATTTTTTATTATTCGACGCATCATTATAGCTCCTAGATGTCTAAGTTGATCATGTCAAAGAATAAAATTTTTTGATCAACGAACTTCTGATTCGTGAGATTATTTGATTCAACCATTTTTATAAATGTATAATATATGCCAAATGGAAGTGTATAAAATTTTTCTTTTACTGCTTCTGATCAGATACAAAAGAGGTTTTGCAAAGATACTCAGTATTATTTTCTTGCATTGTCTCGATATGATATCCATTGCAGCAGATATCTTTTAAACTAAGCATTTTCCTCTAGATTTGCTAGAATAAAGTGCATCATCAATATATAATTTTGTATTATTTGGTAAAATAATACAAGCTCTATAAGAGCCTTCAATGATATTTGATGTACCTGATATTGTATTGACATTATTTTCTTTCAATGTTGAGTCAAACAAATTTTTTTTATCTTGAAGAATAGTATGTGTAGTTGCACTATCAATTAAGCAAGTGTCTTGACAATCTATTATGAATCTTCTAACTAATTTACTCTGATTTTGAGAGAATCGTGCTGATAACGTGTTATAAAAGTGAAGAAAAGAGAATAAAACAGAGAAAAGTCAATAGATTTGTGTGTATTTTATTAAGGACCAAAACCCTATATAGGGTAGAATCATGAATACAACAATGATAATTTTTAGGATTGCGGGGGTATAATTGTCATTTACCTCAAAACTTTAATAAACTTTCAATTCACAGCAATTTATAAATTTTAAAGAAACTTTATAAGCTTAAAAAAAAAACTATATGGAAGATTTCCTTAATTTTTTTTGGATTGATTTTTACCTAGATTTTGGATAGTATGAAAAAAAGAATAAGATATAGAACTAGGTAACAGTTTAATTGTAGATCCATTTTATTCATTAAACGAAGAATGTAAGTTAAGTGTTCTAATATTTTGGGCCTCTTATTTAGTTCCATTTCGTTGTTTTGTTGTTGCTTTTTAAAAGATAATAGTGCTCAACTCAAAAAAAGATAAAAAAATAAAGGGAAACCTTTGTTAGATTTTTGGGATTTAATGTTTTTTGATGCCCTTTATATCTTGAGGCCGAAGACAATGGCCTAGTTTGCCTTGGGCAAAGGTCGGGCCTGGTCGAAAGCAATTCATATTTTGATCCTACCATGTGATAGCATGGTTAAACTCTTGGCACAAATTTTTGTTTTCTATTTTATGTCAATCTATTCATGGAAAAGCAACTAGCTCGGGTTTAACCTATTTGAGAATGCTAAATTTAATATTTTGGATATCATAACTTGAAGAAGAAGAAAGTTAGGAAGAGTTACGGTGCAATTAACATAAAAAACTTGAAAATTTGTTGCTAGAAATTGAAGATTAAAAGCAAGAAATTATTGGAATTAACTGCAGGCTCAATTGAAGGAATTGAAGGATGCAAAAATTAATTCTATTTCTTCTTGCAACTAAAATTTTCGAGTGATGAATAATCAGTTTTTCTTATTTTTGTATAATTATCATGTTAGGCTAAGGACGGTGTCCCTAATTGAAATTGTGATAAATTTTAAAAATTCTTCTAAATTTGGATGTTCTCAATTGAGATTTTAATAGATTTTAATAAAATCCATAAAAATTTAGATGTCCCCAATCAAAATTTTAATTAAACTCAATAAAATCTTTTAAAATTTAGATATCCTCAATAAATAGTGAATTTATAAGGATTACATAAGAAGAGGGATTTTAAAATATTTGGATGGATTTCAAGCCTAAAAAATACATATGACCAAATCATTTGAAATTTCACCATATTTGATGAGATTATTATGGAATTTGTGAAAATCCATTCAAATCTACAAAATTCATTAGAATTTATAATCCTCTAAAATCCATCAAAATCTTAGTTCAGAACATCCTCGTAAACTCATTTAGTATTGGAACAATGATGTACACCATTAATTGACCATTTTTTTGAATTTAAGACATTATCTTTTAAGTATAATTTTTTGCTGGTCGATTGTATCATCTTTATAATGATTATTGAATGTTTGATCACCATTAGATAAATAATTGGCCCATTTTCTAGGAGGTTTGAAATAGGTTTATAATATCGTGGTATTCAACATAAGGTCGTATAGATATTAGGAATAATTATTTATGCCATACGCAATCAAAATATGTAATATTGTGATCTAAAGCCTTTCTAGGTATTCCAATTCGAGATAGGGATATTTCAGGTAGTATTTAGAAATATGTTTAATTTTGCTAGAGGGAGATTATTGAACAAAATAGTATTATTGATTATTGATCTATACACAAATCAGATTAATAGATAAAAGTTGACGATTAGAACTAGAGATTAATGGCAGGGTTGGATTCCCAACACGATTTTTCAAATATAATGTTTCCAAAATTATCTTCAATTGTATCTAGTCAGAATTTAATAGAATAATTAGTTGTTAGTAAAAATGTAAAATAAGACAACTAAATTATCAATTGTGTGTCAGCTTTGCTTTTTTTAATTGCAAATTGATAAAACTCAAATTGAGTCTAATTCTCTTGGGAATGATACTTTCAATAAACTTAAAATTATTATTTATCAATGATGTTACATGTTTGCATAATTTCATCGACCAGTCAACTTGCTAGACATGATATATACATTTCAATTGGTGGTTGCTTGATTCTTCTTGCTTTTGGATTAAAAAAATAAAAATAAAAATAAAAATCATAGCTCATGTCTTAAATGGGTATTTAAGTTGAACAATGCCCTGCATACAGGGCACTGTTCTACAGGGTGTTTACAGGCCCTTCACTGTAACCGACCTGCATTAAAAAAAAAAAAATTTGTGCAAGTCCCGCCCTTGTGTCTGCCCTGGCCGACCTCTGTGACCAACCTGCATTAAAAAAAAAATATATGTGCAGGTCCCGCCCTTGTGTTTGCCCTGACCGACCTCTGTAAATGCCCCCCTTGCCGTGAATCATCTCCCTTTTAAGTTTTAGATACTAGTTAGAATGTAGAGGGAGCAATGAGTACTCTCGAGAGCCACTTTGTAAAAGTCAAACAATTAATTTCGAAATTAGACAAATGAAAGATCAACCATTTAATTAAGATCCTCTTTTGGTTTGACGAAAAATAAAAATTTTAATAGTTTTTAATAAAAGTCGACGAATATATGTCTAGAAAGTTAAAAAAAATTGTGAATCCTACATAATGTGTAGTTTAAAATGAAATTGAGAAAAAGGAATTTTAAAAATTGAGACCAAACATGAGCTAAATTTTACTTTGGGCACGTTACTTGAAAGCAATAATATGCAATAGATAAATAAGAATAATAACACACAAATTTATGTGAAAACTTAAGATGGAAAAAATTACAGACAGAGGAGGCTACTTTATTAAAGATGACTACAAGAATTCAAGTCGCTGTATTTTAACAGGGTAGTATGTACAAAATGATTAAGGCCATTAAGAAGCTTTTTGACCTCATTTGTTGCTTGTCTTTTTTGTTATGTTTGTATAATAATATATTAGACGCTCGATCTTTTTCGTTATAAATACCTGCATTTTATTTGGAAGGAACTTCATTGGTTCCAATAATGATGCATTAAAATCGGGGTTTTGAACTCACGAAATGTCTATATATTGCTTCGACGATTTTAATTATGAAAGTAGTTTGTCGTATGTTGATCAAAAGATGCATGGCCAACTATAATTTCCCCATCCTTTTTTTGCATGTTGAACAATAAATATAGATGGCGCGAAAGTCTTGATTTTGAAATCGTAAAAATGCCTATAAATTGTTTCAAGAACTCCACGATGAAAGTAATTTGTCGCATGTTGATTAATAGACATAGGGCGAGGCCTACTTCGCCATTCTTTTTCAAACAATCAATTTCAATTTCAAATACTCACATGGAAAGAACCTTTCATCTTGCTCTAGTAATTCTAGTCTAAAATTGATATTTTCTTCATATTCTTTAATTATTTCAATGTAAAAATGAGTTGTCATCTGCTCTGTCAAAAGATAAATGGATAATGACTATTCTGATACCTTTTCTTTGCATGTCGAACAATTAACCTCAAATTCGTGCGAATGAAAAAGATAAAAACTATTTCAATAAAATTTACTTCAAAGAAATGTTTCATATTGGGATATTTCTAAATGAAAATGATATTAGGAAATATAAATGCATTTATAAATTCAAAATTCAAATTAATATTCATATTTTATGCACTCCTGCATGCTTGACATGAGTCAAGACATCCATCCTCGTCCCCCTCGTGTCGTCGTTCAATAAAATACTCATTATTCTGCACTGTACACGAATGCAAAGAGACAAAATCTATGCAAGAGATAGACAGATAGACAGAGAGAGTGTGAGTGTGTGTGTGTGTGTGTGTTAATTCAGAGAGAGAAAGCTCGGAGCTGTATTTATGTCAGAAGCACAGCCCAAAAAAAGCTTCAGCTTCTTCCATTGACAAGAACTGAGAAAAACTCTGTGTTAAAGAGTTTTTTGCAGTTTTTGCTTACTGGGTTTTCCCATGAATCCAAACAAAATTGAAGAGAACGTGGTTTGCCCAATGGGTCCACCGCCGCCCCACCATGAACAGTTCTTGGACCCTCAATCTCAGCCGTCCATTGACGATGACGCTTTCTCACTCACCGGAATCGACTTCTTTCGGGATGATGACGATGACGACATCAGCCACGCGTCATCCGATGCTGAATTCTCCCTTAACGGTGCCCCGTCTCGAAACCCTAATTTTCCGGATTTTGCTGTAATTAGTGGCGTCAGGAGCAATAAGAGGGCAATTGATTATCCACGGCTGCATATTAGCGCTGAACCTTACATATCGTCTCAATTCTACACTTTCAATAAGGAATCCCATGCCTTGATGATCCAATGCTTGATTGAAGGCCGGGTTGCTAAGCCGGACGAGATCCGGGCTGTGACTCCTGATGACCTGCTCGCTAGCTGGCGATCGGTGTGGAAAGACCGGAACCAGGATACCGCCTACTTGACTGCGTGGAAGCGTATCCAGGACAAGCTCACCGTCCATGTCGCTGACCCGGCCTCGGCTGTCGCCATTACTGGTAATAGCCGCTTTCTTTGCTTCAAGAATAATTTGAATCAATTTGTTTCCCATGTCGATCAATGGCAGGATATAGTCATGTCATTTCATGGCGTTGAGGATTTAAGACACTTAGGGCTTAGAGAAACCATAGAGAAAATCAAACAGGTCTGGACTGTGGGTGCTAAATTTTATGGGATTCCTGAGACTTATATTAGGACTTGCGTTGCAGCCTGCCTATTGTGCGCAAATGACATATCTGGGTGTGCGCCGCGATCGAAGAGGAGGAAGTTTGAATATACTGAGTCTTTTGATCTTCCCGCTAAGGCAGTACCTTTTATGTTGCAACAGTTGGCTGTGAAGCATAAGGTGGTTTTGTGCATACGACAGAAGTATATAAGGCACAAGCCATTTATGGCTGAGGTTAAGGATTACGCGTGTCATAGAGCTGGCGAGCCTGCATCCTTGAAGAAATCGCGGATTATGAAAAGGGAGCCCTATGTTTCCAAGCGATGTGGGTGTGGTTTTCGGATACGAGCAATAGTTCCTATATCCAATTACAATGAGAGGGATAAGACATTTGTCTACGAGGATGAGGGGACAGCTGTGTTTAAGCTGTGTGCGGTGCATTCAGGGCACGTGCCTGGGCCTTTGGATGGAAATGCAAGGATTATGCATCGAATGGTAGGGCATAAAGGTAGTGTTTTGATGGATAATGAGACTATGTATGGGGTGGTAGAAGAAGGGGAAAGCGACGATTTTGGGTTCTTGGGAAATGATCCCAGGGATCTACAGCATTTGGCTTTGCAACATGTACAGGAACTGAGGAAAGAGTTAGGGTTGCTTGAAGGGCAAATTAGGAGAACCCCACCCAAGTTGTTGAGGTCTTTGGTTCATGAACTCTCAGACATGGTGGGTAAGCTTAGAAATGCAGCAGATGATGGCTCAAAATCTGTTGGGTTGCCATCAGAGAAGCAACATCTAGGTGATGTCTTGGTGGTAGAGCATGATTTGCCAGATTGGGGTGATGTTTATCAACTGAGCATCTATGGGGATGGCAATGATGTAAATGTTTTTGAAGATGACGGGGAAAGCTTTGGGAGGACTCTTGGGGAGGTTACTTCTTGGGATCAGATGGCACAGTATAAGAACAAGAAGAATGTGCTTGTTGAAGCTTGCAAAGAAGAGAAGTGGTTGAAATGTGGTGCATATGATGAGAAGGGTATTGTTGGCTGCAGTGATTATAAGCTGAACAAACTCTTAAGTCACGAGATGATAGATCCAGATTTAGGTCTTGGTAGTATACAGGTGGATGACTTCTATGCTGAAAATCCAAAGTGGTTTGATTCTCCTTGTGAACTGAATCCTAGCGCAGATCGTGGTGATGGTGGATTCCAGCCTGGGGGGATTGCATAGATATTATTAATCTCGTTGAACCCATTCTAACTTAATTCCGAGTTTTTCCTGTGCCATTCATCCTTCTTTTATTGTTGGAAGTGGGATGTATATTTGTGTGCTTATCGCCCCACATTCAGAAAAATCAAGGTGCAAATAACAAAGCATGTAAGCCATCTCATTGCCTTTAGGTTTCTTTATTGCATGTATTTGTAAAATATACCCATTTTGGCTTCTCTGCTTATACTCTGATTCTCTACTGAACTTTTATGGGTTTTAAACTTGGTTTTCACATGATCTGTGATCATTGCCTTTTTTGTTCTATTCCTGTTGTATGTATTGTTTACTATGTTGTATAAGATGCTTTAATTGCTTAGATACAAATGGCCGCATTGTTCCATGGAAGTGCTTTTGTGTTTTTTATTGTTGTTTTTGCCCCTTTTCCTTTTTTATAGACATTCATTTCTTTCTTCAAGGAAGCTTAATTTTATGGTGATGAATGAAGCAGTAAATAAATCCAATTCCTAATTATCCACAAAGGATCTTTCGTTCTACATATAATAACCTTTAGAAGTTTGATAGATATTCCATTAATTCCTAATTCTACTGCTGGTATAGGTTTGATATGCTTTTCAATCATTGTTATCAATCTTTGTATAGTAACTCAGAGCAAAACAGATGCCCACACACTTTACTTGTCCAGCACGTTCCATTTATTTATTTATTTTTGTGTGTGTTTTTGCATGAAAAATCTGTTTCTCTTTTCTGAACCATTCTTTATGCTGTTTATGGGGAGAAGCTTGATCGCCAATTATAGAATGTTCATTTGTCACATGTGATGTCATTAAGGAAATAGTAGTTGATTTATGTCTTTGTGTTTTATTTTTTACTTCCTTAAATTGATTTCTAAACTAATAATCTAATATTCATCTTTACCCATCTGTTTTTGGCCCCGATAATAAATAATTAAAATGTGCATAATCAATACCTTGAACACTGATATTGTGGTGATGATTATGGCTTTCTGCTCAGATGTGGTGCTTCTTATTCTTGACTTATAGGGCCAAACAACCTTTTTTTTTATTCTTCGTACCAGATTGAATGATAAAAATACTCTAGTTCGAAAAGTTTGATAGAGGGTATATTTTTACTGCATTTTTATACAGTGGTTTTGGTATTATGAACTAGTTGCATGATCGATGCATTTGGCTTGCATATCAAATAGCTAGTGATGTCACTTGACCCGAGGGAGAGTTGTCAATTCTATTTGTCTGGCTTTTCCCTGCGTTGGCTGAGATTTATGTCAATCAGTCGTCGGTCTAGCTAATATTTAAAATTCAATTGCTTATATTTGGATAAATTTCTCGGATTCAATTGCTAAGTTTGGACAAGTTTCTTGGATCTCTTCCTCTTGGCCAGAATACAATTATAGCTATTGAATTTTTCCACCTCCTCTTGGTTACCATATCAATAGTTTGTGCGTTTTGAGAAATTTTGACAGGTTTCTTGAATCAATCTCCCTCAAACACCAAATCATAAATTTTAGGGTAATTTTTCTAAGAAGTATTTTTTTTTTGGTAAAAATGAAATTTATCTCCCTCCAAAAATTTAATTAAATATAACCGTTTGATCATATACTAAATGATTGTAGAGCCCTTTTATTAAAATGTCTCAGGCAATCTAAGCAAAGTTGATAAACAAAACTAGAATATCTAAATTGATCATGCATTCTTGTCAACTTGCCGACGCGTTTGATTCATCCTATTGGTTTGGCTCATACGAAATAAGTAGCTTCCAAATAAATGTAAGAATTCCCAGTGAACTCCTAATTCTGTCTTTTTTTTTTTTGGCTTGGACACTCGGAGAGAGGCTTGGTGAAATAGACATGTTTATGAAGATGTGGACTACCTGCACTTAGACAGAAAGGCCCTATGAAGCTTCATTGTTCCTTGGGATTGGTTTGGGCCTTTCCTGAAACTGCTTAGGTGGAAGGTGAAGAAGATCTCCTTCTGAGAGGGCCCGAGCCATCAGTTAGTAGGGTGTGAATGTCTAGATAGTTTGAAAGTCATGTAAAAAGGAAGGAGGAGAATTTGATATGACTTTTAAAGAGAGAATGGCATATTGTCAAAACAATTCAACAAATAGACATTATTTAGAAACTCAAAAGTGGTGGACAAAAGTTTATTTTCTCAATCTAAAAGTTTCTTATGGTGGAAATTTCAGCTAAATTTAACTAGGGGTGCAGAGGAGAGAGAAAAAAATCTTCTTTGTCTTTATTTACTGCTATGGAGAATATTCAGCATCTAGTTAATCTTTAGACTTGAGAGGATAATGCATTTTATCGGCAGACACTGATATGTTTTGTGCTTCCGCCTTCTCAACGAGTTAATTTGAGGGATATGTTAGGTGAGTAACCTAAGTTTGTTAAACATGCAAAAAGTTGAGGCAATTAGATATGTTAGGTGATTAACCTAAGTTTGTCAAACATGCAAAGAGTTGAGGCAATTATGACGCTGTACTTATAGATACTAATATATTAAATTAGGTAAACTCCCTTAGTCTTTGCTTTCTATGTAATTATAGTTCTAGTAAAATGTTCAAGCTTTCCCCTGTACATATATGCTTCTGTCTCCCTTACGTAATTTAAATTTTAATTGAATAGGTTTGATTATGAGCCTAGATTTGGGTTCAAATATGATAGCTCATCCATATACTAAGATTTCGAAAACATCGTTACACATGTTCATAAGATATGGCAGTATGGGGTTTTACTTGACACTAGACATCAAAACTTTGCCACATGAAATGCAGTTTGATCTACTTATTGAAAAGTTGAAAAGAAAACAAGGTAGATCTGGAAAATTTTGGTAAATTCTAATTTAATTATAATACTGAATCTTATTTAGCGTTTAACTTCAAGGGGTAAGGACAATGAAGAATTGTGTTCTCTTATATCTTTAGAGCATAGTTTGATGAATTTTCAAATTGCAAGAATGATGACAAGATTTAATAGTTGGCTATCAATTACCACAGGTGGTCAGTGTTAAATGCTTAACTATGGCAATTAATTCTGATGTTGATAATATCCTTGCTTGCAGGGGATGCATTTATTTGACTGGTAAATTCATTGTATAGTCATTTGTAAAAAACAAATTTACATTGCCCTTGGGAGTGAATCACTTTTGGTGATAGATATATAGAATTTTCAACAATGCGAAATTGAAGGGGCAAAACCTTTATTCATTAAATGCCAATTTGTACTATGTAGAACTCTAGTTTGGATGGTAAAAATAGATCACTTTTGGCTTCCAACAAGGGTAATGAAAACATCGATAAGGATTAGAAATGGATTTTATTCAAGGCTGGGAAGGATTAATTAAAGCCTGCCATCTTCTTAAATTCAAGTTTTTGATGCAAATTTCTGGTAGAAATCTACAGTTACATGAGATATATACAGATAATTCAATTTTGATTATGTTGGAGATCCTTTTTTTTAGAAGGAATTTGGGTTATTTATTTTCTTATTTAGAAGATTAAACCTAGTTTCATTTACTTTATATATGACATTATCGTAATTTGTTATCGGACAAATTATGGTAGGTATACATTAACTTCCGTATTTTGGATGTTTCTAACCAGTAAATGAATTTTCTCTCTCTTTGGAATTAAATAAGCTGAATATTTATACAAATTTTATATTTTCTCCTTAGTTTTTCTCATTTACTTTTGTTCTCTAATTTCTAACAGATTATATCAAAAGGCATGATGGATGCGTACAGCTCTGGAAGTCACTGATCTTACATAAACTGTACTTTCAGAATAATTATAGAAATATATTTTTGACGTGTCCTTGGCAACTCGGATGTCTCTCTTCAGAAATCCTGTTTCTAGCAGCCCCTAACATGATCAAAGGCAGATCTGCTCTCAGCTCCTAGAAATATGTGTCCCCCCAAATTCCCATTTTTTAAAGGGTCATTTGTCCAGATAGATCATGGCACATGCATTGTCATATACAGTGCATGTATACCATATATACAGAGATTCGGGACAGTAGGAATTGGTCATCACATAAAGTAAAGAACATTCAAAACCAGTATATATCAGCACATATAATTCTATTTGTCTTTCCTGACACCAATTATTTAATGGAAAATTATAAATTTTCTGATTTCATTTTCTGGCTTTTTTATATGTAGTAAACTATAAATTGTCTAATATCATTTTCTTGCATTTTCTTATGTAGTAAATGAATGAACTACACATCATCTTGGTCTTGCTTAGAAGTGAGTTACATGAGCTCTTGGAAGGGTGAATTGTGTTTTCACTTGCCAATGTGGCTGCAAATTTGCAGCTATTTAGGTTATTCACATTATTGCACTATGTTTTAATCTTATACACACCAATCATTTTAATTTGCTCTCAAATCTCTTCCAATCCGATTCAGAAACAAGCACTTGGTGCTTGCAGTTATATTTATAATTGACCATAATGATTCTGATTGAAATTATTGAAGTAGCTCCAAATTGATGAACATTTTAAACTAGTGCATTTTGCCTGCAATGTTATTCCTTTTTTTTTGCAACTTATTATATTATATTATTTTTGCATATTATAGTTTGAGAATTCCATGTGCGTTCAGGTTCGAAAAAATAATACCTATTAGAGCTGCTGAATGAGTTCTGTGTTGTTGAGAACTGTGGGAAGAACCTGCTCACAATTCTGAGGGCCACCATGAACAAGTCCAGAATGTTGTCTGTTGAAACTGAAAAGATTCGTCATGATGTTAAGATGAGATTTTGGTGAGTATCTGTATTTGACCAGTTAGTGGCCTTTAACACAATAGTTACATTTTCTTCCCATGCAGCAATACAAGTTCAATGTAGGTTCAGATAATTTTGGATGTCGACTTGTCCTTAGTGACGCACTATCTTGTAATTATGAACTGTCTGTTTTCCGCTCTTAAAAGTTTGGCACAGCTTGAAAGAGGTTTCTCCAAAGTACTTCTTTGCAGTAAGATAATGGATGTCTGCATCATTGCCTTAATTCAATGAAATCCTGGGTCGTGGCTCTCCGGGAAGGTAGACCTCTGCCTTAGAATATACTTTATCTTAAAATCTGGTGTGCCCTTTCTTTGGAGGAATATGGTAGTCTGGTAGATAACACTGCAGCATGCTCTAAAACTGACTTCTACTGGTTGATTTACTTATTATAGAAATCTATCTGCCTTTTCAACTTCTTTTCCTGGAATTTTCAGTTGCCTAATGCTATGTAGCACTGCTGGTGCTTAGCCCCCGTCTGCCACCTAGATTGGTGCTACATAGAATTAATCATTCTTAATAGGTTGCCCCAGGTATCACAAAGTTGGACCATGGAGCCTGCAGAGGTCAGCTTTGGATATGTTTGAGGCTGCAGAAGTAGCTGCAGTTTTGATATATTTTGTTGTTATTCTCTTAAAAATCTTGTTTGATTTTGATGGAATTCCGGTAACCTCTTTCTATCCTTCCTGTGTTTTTGAAGATTTCTTGGCATCATTTTGGGGTTCGTCTTGATTACTGTACTTGTTTGCAATTGTCCAGAGTCATGCTAAATATCTGATCAAATGCTGGTTTATCATATGATGGTATGCACTCGTGTTCTATTTATGGACTGTTTTCTGTTGGTAATGTCTGGTTGATACGATTTTTTTCTCTTTGTTTGATGAACTATGTGGAAAGCACTCCCACCTTTGCTTGCACCTGTGCTGCTGCTCTAACTTGATTCAGAATGGGACTAGTTTGAAATGAGTTAAACATTGACTTTGTACATTGGAACTTCTGAAAATGATTAGGCATCATTTGGTACTATGGAAGTGGCTTTATTGTAGGGGTGGTCAAATTATTATTTCGGAGTAATTGATAAGGATATCTATGGACCTTTTTGGTATGCAGTACTAGGGCATATTGGACTTTAAAATGTACTCAATTTTAACTCCTGTTTTTATTTAATAATGTTAAAGTGCTATCTAATTCACATTACCAAACAACCTTCAGTTTTTCACCATGTCTAGATGTAGCTAGACATACATGCTCGGAGTAACTCTGAACAGGCTTTTTGTGGAGTGACTGGTTAATTTCCCTTGTGGTAGCTTGATTATGCCACAAGTGGAAGACTGCAAAGCATTTCAGTTTGAATTGTTCAGTGCTGGATTATTTTTATTTACCCTTATTTAAGCACATTCTTAACTTGTCTTCAAGAGTGCAGAAAGGGTGTCAAAGGGATGTTGTCTTCATTAAGATTGGACTTGCTGTTTCCGCACCGGTCGAGACACTTCAATTGCACTAGCCTGCGTGTTCTCCCCATGGATCAACACCTAACTTTTTATCTGCTAAGCTTTTCATCGACACAAAATGTGCCTTTTCAAATTTTTGGTTGTAGGGTATGTAGCATCAAATTAACATATGAGAGTGGAGTGGAGTTGTTTACGGGCCTTAAAAGTAATTCTTGCCATATTGTCAAATAAGTAGCTTATTTCCAATTTTCACCAATTAAAAAAATTATTTCTTTAATTATAAATTTACTTGCAAGTGAACCTTAAGCTTATACAAATATGCGTATTGACTGACTCACATTTGAAATGTGATTTTGAAGATTTCTTGCTATCATTTTGGGGTTTGCATTGAGAAGTGCCCTTGTTTGCAGTTGATCTACAGTCATACTGAATAAGCAAATGCTTGTGTTCTCCTAATCATGAACTATTTTCTGTTACTAATGTTCTGATCGACATGATTTTTGCTCGTTTGTAAGTTGTGAAAAGTATTTGCATTTTTGCTTTCAATTGCTCCAGCTCTAACTCAATGACATGATGAGACAGTGGCGGAGGGAGGTGGGAGTCAGTGCTGAAACTTGAGAAAAAAATTACAACTTTTTTACTGTTTCACTTATTTTTTAATATTACTATTTTTTGTGTTCGAAATTTTTTTCCGTAGTTAAACTAAGCCTCCAGTGAATAGATTTGTCCTGCTGCCATTATCATGAGATTAGTTTAAGATGAGGTAACAGACTCGTACATTGGAAACGTAGATTGGCATTGTTGCATTCCGATTTTGAAGTAATTCAGATGGATGTCATGTTGGTTTTTAGCTAGACTTGCATACTTTGAATGACTCCCAACACGATTGTTGTTATCGGGGCCGAGTAACCTTGTGTTGGTTTTGATTTTGCCACAGGAGGAAGAGAAACCTGAATATTTCATAGAATACTTTTCTTGAATAATTACATGTTCGATTATTTTATTTCACCAGGTTAAAGCAAAGCACATTTCCTAGCTTGTCTTGACGAGTACAGAAATAAGAGGCAAAGGGATGTCAGCAGCATGGTTCCTTGGATCGGATCGAGGCCATGTTTTTTCCTTGGATCGGATCAACCTTTCATTTGCAAAGCTTTTCATTGACACAAAATGTGTCTCTTCAAATTTCAAGCTTGCTGCAGGTACAATTGCTTTGACAGCAACTATGACAGCTCTCTCACGTTAGGGAGTGGGGTTTGCAAGTAAAATAATCATGGGCCCCACGTTTTGTGAGAGGGCTGTAAGTGTTTGGTGCTGTACACTTGGCCTTTTTCTTCAAGTTTTTGGTTGTAGGGTGTGTAGCATCATTGCGTAAGAACAGCTGGTTTTGCAGGAGCTGGCTTGTTTGTGGGACCCCAAGCTTTTTATCTTCTTTTTCATGTGAAATTCACGAAGAATGGCTCCTACAAACTTTGATGAAATATGATATTCTTCTAGGACAGACTTTTTATTTGCTTTCAAGTGTCATTTTCCCTTGGCAGGGTCATGTTATTTCCCAGTTTTCCAATTAGCATTGCAATTTCCAAAAAAGCTTTTTGGATATGATCTGATTATTATGCTCTTGTAAGTTGCCTAAGCTTCCGTTCCAATTTTATTGTAAATTGTTCATATTTTCATCTACTCAGTCGTGTGGTTTTCATGGATAAAATGGCTGATCGGGTAATCCAGGGGGAAAAACTAGGGGGTTTTCCCCAGGTTCCCTGTTGCATTTCCGCCTGTAGAGTGGAGACAATTTTTTATTTTATTTTATTTTTTCGTCCTATTTTCATATTTTTATAATAATTTTTTTATATATTAAATTTTTTTCTTATTTTATAATAAATTCTTTTAACAAAAATTGCATTTCAGGCATAAAAGTTTTGGATGGAATTCATCTAAAAGGACCATTTGCACCAAAAATGCAAAGATTTAGATCATTCATGCCATATTGAAAATGTTAGGACCAAAAATTCAATAAGGTAAAAAATTTGAGATCATTTGCATCAATTTCCCATTATTATAAAGAAAAGAAAATAAAAGCGTTAAATTGATGAGGTCGTCCAAGGATTGAAATCATAGTTGTCAGACCCAACCCGGATGTCGACTCGGACGTAGCGGGTCAGTGGGTCAGTGGTTCAACCGATGACCTGGTGGTTCAATCGGTGGGTCAATGCTTGTCAAGTATATTATTACTTAGTTTTGTTGAACAATAAAATTTTATCATTTTCTACTGGTAACTTTATTAACCTCGTATTATTTTGTTATCTAAAGGTCAATATGTATCCAAAATTTCACAAATTCTAAACACATCTGTAGTCAAGCGTGCATTTGAAACGACAAAAACAACTAAAAAAAACTACTTTATCTAAAAAAGTTCAACAAGATAGCTTCACATGCTATATGAATATGCCTGCAAAAATAAAACCATCAGTTAAAAGTCAAAACACGAAAATAATTTTAATGACATCTAATCAACCTAAACCCAGTACATCTAATTAATGTTCTTAAGAATTAATGAAGGCTCAAACTAAACCTAGAACATTTGGAAATAGAAACTGGAAACATAATGAAATAGAAACCGGAAAAGAAGAAAAATCGAATCTGGAAACATAAATGATGCCTCACTGACCATTTTGGGATTAACTCCACACACCCATTTCATTCTATTAAAATAATTAAACACAATATATTTGGCTACTAGGACCTTTGCCTTGACATCGATCTGATTCTTTTTCCAATATTCACGGCTATTTGCGTATTTGTCATCACCCTAATAAAACAAATAAACACAGCAATAATTTCCATATTATAATCGGTTTGAACAACAATAGCAATTAGCCTAAGTATAAAATCAATTTGGTCGAGATTTTTTCAACAAAATACATCTGACCTGTTCTTCCATCTCTTCAAACTTGAAATTTGGAGATTTGGATTTTTCGGAAGTGGTTGAGTTGCAAGACATTGGAGACGGCTTCTGGGCTTTTTGATGTTGGAAGTATCCCTAACGCTTTAGAATTTGTGAGGACTAAGGAGAAGGGGTGGAGAAAGTGAAAGAAAGATGGAGAAATCAGAAATATATGGGTTAACAAAGAACTGGCCGGGTCAAGGACAAAAGGAACCCGGGTTTCACGAAAAATCGGCGATTTTCACGGTTGGATGGCGGACAGTTCTTACATCCACAAAACCAGTGAACTCGGACCGGACCCTAGTCCGGTTCAACGGTTTCCGAGTCAAACCGTCCGGTCCGGTCCGGGTTTTATAACTATGATTGAAATGTATGGACGGGGAAACTCATTTTCAATAGTAATTTTTTTTATAGATTGTACAGTTAAAAATTAGGGAAAAATTTTAGGTTTATATGATTTTTTTTTTATTAAAGGAATATGTGATTGAAAATGGATTGTTTGAAATACAATTTATATAATGAGACAGAAATGAGGTTAAGTTCGACATTTTGGTCTGGCTTTGAGCTTGGGCCTCCAGCAGGTTTTTTAACGCTTTCATGTGGACTCCAAAAGGATGTTCTCTGTTAGAAAAATGGTTTAGATGGAAAAGTTCATTTTTTTTTCTTGAGAAATAAGTAGCTAATTGCCTTATACCCAACTTCAAAAAAAACATGACGACTTATGGGGATAATTGTAGTAAAAATTCTAAACTTGAAACACTAACAGATTTTTCTGAAACCTTTGGTTTGTACAACTATCACTTCTAATCTTTCTCAATGTTGTAAGTGGAATCCTTTTGGACAGTTTTCATTCATAATTCTGTCATTTGACAATAAGTTTAAATTTGATCACATTTTTAATATTTTAAAAAGAGAAAAAGAGTAACTTTCTATTTATCAAATTAAAAAAAAAAGAAAAAAAAGAAAAAAAAAAAACAATCTTCTTCTTCCTCTCACCCACCCCCAAAATCAGCCACCCGACCACGCCACCTCCACCTCCACCTCCACCCACCACTAGCCACCACCATCCACCTCATCACAATCGCTACCCAACAACCTCCACTATCCAACCTCAAATCCCAAATTGAAACCAAAATACATGAGGGTGAATAACTTGTATTTTGGTTTGCTACTGGAAAGCAGTTCTCAGTTGAAGGAACCATCCAAGGACAAGTTTAGAGTGATGATAGACGAAGTGAGATAAATTGACAAATACACTTAAGAAAAATGGACAATGCCGCTAAATCGATGAAGAGGTCAAGCAAAATTTTGTCGAATTTACAAACAAATCGAGGAAAATGGAAGATGTTGCTAAATCCAAAATCGAAAATGGAAAGTCCTTTATGAGAGGTACAACAAAATTCTATTGAACTTACAAACCAAATCGAAAATAGTCGAGAGATTATCTAGACTTGGGCAAAAAAATTGACAAACCGATCAAACCAATCAGACCGAACCGACTCGGGTCGGTTTGACATTTGACACAGGGAATTGGTTTGGTTGTCGTTTAAATAAAATCATGGTGGTTTGGTTCGGTCATTGTTTGAAGTCTCAAACCGTTGGTTAATCGAACCAATCCATCAAACTTACATGTTTATCCTTTTTTTATTTTTATTTTTTTCTAAGAAAAATAAAAATCAAAAGATAAGCTCTAATTTCATAACTATATCACGATTTCCTTCAATCTGTGATGTTGCCGGTAAGTAATATTACTGAAATTTTTTTTTCACAAGCTCATTATTTTATACTTAATTTTTTTTCCTTAGGCAATCAGGTAACGTAATGTATAAAAAGGCAACAAAATTCTTAAATTTTTTATTGATCTGTCTTTAGTAACTTAATTTTATTTTTTAGTCAAAAATTTTTGTAATATAAAGTTATTTAGTTATTTTAAATCTTGTAATCTAATTGGGCCAAAACTTGGAAAATATTTTTATTTTATTTTATTATTTTTTTAAAAATCAATTTGAACTAAAAATCCAAACCGATTAATTTGATTTTGGTTTCAGGTTGAAGTCGAAACCAACCCAAACCAAGCTGCTTCCAAGCCTAAGAATATCCCAGAAGTTGAGGACATGAATTCATGCTGCATTTTTTGTACTTGAATAGACTTTAATTGCCATTACAAAGCTTCTTTATTGCTTTCGATCTTCTGTTTTCTATTTTTTTTTTTTTACATGGCTTGTATTTTAGTTTTAATTTAAGATTGGATTGGGTGGTGGAAGTTGTTGGGTGGGGATTGTGATGGGGTGGATGATGGTGGCCGATAGCAGGTGATTGGTGGACATGGCAGGGGTTAGGTCTGGATATGAAGTAGGGCTGGAGTGTGGTTGAGAGGAAGAAGACTATTGTTTTGTTTTATTTCTTATTTCTTATTTTTTAATTTAATAAATTTAATTATTTAATTTGATAAATAGAAAGTTATTTTTTTGCCCCATTTTAAAATATTAAAAATGTGGCCAAAGTTAAATTTGTAGTCAACTGATAGAATTATGAATGAAAAATCTTAGAACCCCGTTTCTCTACTTATACTATATATGATGGCCGGTTTGCTCAGACCATCGAAAAGGGCCTCATCTGTAATGTTTGGAAAAGTCAAGGATAATGACTACAACAAATCAAAAATTTAGGGAAAGTCTACTAGTATTTTAATGGTTTGGAGTTTTTGCTGTAACTATCCCCAACCTTTATTTTGGGTTTATTGTTGTATAAATAATGACTTTTGGAGGAAAAACATCGTCAATTCCTCACTTAGGTTCTCGGTCTAGAATGATAAATACAGAAGGGACAGAGAGTGTATCCTCTTCGAATTTCTCAAACTCTTCAGAGTCTTTTAATTTTAATTTTATAATTTTCAATCTAAATATTATTTATAAAAAAATAATAATTAAACAAGCACGATAAATATAGACAATGTAATACACTTATGCATATGTAATCACAATAAATTCACAACATACTTTATAATCCAAATTTTGTAGCCCAACTTTGTACAAGTAGCTTTATTGCTCTTCAATTACATTCTTTTACAATTTTGCTACACACCTACACTTTTGGTTGACAATTTTATTTACACCACATGACGTAGCACATAATTGTTGGAATTTAGTGGTGTTAATGAAAAAGGATTATCGCATAGCGTATATGTAGTTTAGATATCGATTTTAATCATACCGTATATGCAGCTTATCATATTTGCAGGCAGCTTACCGTGTATGCAGCTTACTGTATTTGCAGGTAGTTACCGTATATGCTGCCCACTGTATGTGCACTTGACCGTATTTGCACATATTTTCTTTACCCTTTTCATATATATCGTATTTTCACATACCGTATTTTCACTTACACATATAAATACCGTATATGTAACTTACATATACCGAATTGCAGTTACCAACTGTTAGCAAGAAAATTCAGATATACTTTTTTTCTTTTTCGATTTTTATTTCTAACATAAATATAACAAATAAGTAAATTGTAGAATATATGAATCAAGTAAATTGAAAACGTATAAATCACTAAATAAATAAAT